AATGGTGGCTCATTTTTAAGGTCCTATCCAGCTCTTATGCAGTTAGAACATTTTTATTTTATAAAGTAATCGTATTTTAAAACTAGATCATGTTTGCCATAACTTGAGCTAAATGTTGCTTTATGTTTAACACATTGGAGATAGTTTGTTATTAAAAACTAGAATTCTATGAAAGCTACATTTTAATTTTTTAAAATTATATGCGTTAAGTGTAAAGGAGAGATAGTGATAGTGAGAATTATACTTGAAAGGGAAGGAAGATTACTTGGTGCTCAATTTTGTGAGAAGAGTCGGCCTCTGATGTCCACGGGGAGCAGCGTGGATTGCTCAGGCCTGAGGGGAGGCACGGGCAGTGCAGAGGAAGATGCAGGCAGGGAACAGCTCCCGCTCTCGTGTATTGCCACAGCCCGGTGCCCGGAGAGCTGGAGGGCCAGGCCCAGAGCGCCTGCACAATCGCATGCCCAGCCTTATGCTAGACCTACTGGACGCGACTCTCTAGAAGGGGGCTAGTATTTGTCTTTGTCGGAAGTTCTCCTAGTGATGCTGGTGTGTTCCGTGGGTTAGGAACCACCAGTCTCTGCCAGGCTTTGCAGGAATAAACGGTTCCCCGAGAAGGGGCACTTAACGGGCTGTGCAGTCTCTCCCTACTTGCTGCCGTCAGTGCTTAGAATTGTTAGAATTTGCAAAGATGGCTATCTTTGTAGTGTTCCCACCCCTAGGCCAGCCCCTTGGGAGTTATATTCTGCTCTCTTCACTAGCCCAAAATGGGACTCACCACCTACCAAGGTGTTCTTCCTTTTGGCCAACGAAACTACGATAGACTCCCCTCACCTGCCTTCCGAGACACCACACTCTGCTGATTTCCCACCCCCGGTCGGCCCCTTTGCTCTGACTTAGTCTTTTCTGACCTCTGAACATCAGAGTTCTTGGATCTCTTCTCTGTTTACATTCCCCGCCTCGGTGATCACCCCACCCCATGGCATGGCTTTAGATACAGTTTCTGAGCTGACAACGCCCAGAAGTCTGTGTCCTGATTGACCCTCTCCCCTGAACCTCAGACTCACGTATCCGGCCACCTCCTGGGCGCCTCCACTTGGACGTCTCCTGGACATCTCAGACTTCCTCCGTCCTAACCTGACTCCTGCTTTCTCCCTGAGACTTGCTCCTCCTCCAGTCCACCTCCTGCCACCTCCTTCCTACTGTCCCGGCCTGCGCCACCATCAGCTCTCTCCTGGACTACAGCAGGAGCCTCGCAGTCGCTCTCTCTGCGTCCACTCTCATCTCCCCACTGTATTCTCCACACAGCAGCCAGAGAGATCCTTTTAAATTCTAGTCTTCTGTTCAGAACCTTCCAGTGACTGCCGTTTCCCTCAGAGTAAGATGCAAAGGCCTTACAGCGGCCGCAAGGCCCCAAACAGTCTGACTCCGGCTTAACTCCACCAGTACCTCTCTGACCGCCTCCTCTCCCGTCTCTCTCGCCCTCACTCCACTCCAGCTGTATGCCTTCTTGCTCCTCTTTGAAGATACCAGACACTTTCCTGCCTTAGGATCTTTGCAATATCTGTTCCTTCTGCCTGGAAGGCTCTTCCCCCAGATGCCCATGTGATTCCGCCCCTCACTTCCTTCTGAGCTTGCCCCACTGTTATTTTCTCATGGAGGCCTACCCTGACTACCCCATTTAAAAATGCAATCCGTACTCGTACCTTTCTTATCCTGTTCTGTTATTTTCCCCAAACCATTTATTGCCTTCTAATATAATCAACAGTTGGCTTACCTTTGATGTCTTTCGTTATTGTCTGTCTCCTCCTGCATCCCCAGCATCCCAGTGTCATCTCCACTAGGGCAGGAATTTTTATCTTTGTTCACTGATATAGCCCAAGAATCTGTCACATGGTGGGTGCCCAATAGGTGAGTACTAAAGGGAGCAGCATTTTCTAGACCTGAAAGGAAAAACAAAGCTAAAAGATTTGTCCTGCTAAGAATTTCTTCTATTCTGTGTTCAAACTGTGGTCTACTAGAGGGTATGAATTATATCTTTTATTCGCCCATTCAGAAATGGGAGGGAGTAAGACCAGATTATCTGCATGATTAAATGTAGCATTTATTTGGTGACATTAAGTATAGAAACAAATTGTGAACTGTACACATAAGTGTAAATTCAAGTTATGACCCGTGGACAAGGCCAGTGGGAACCGTTTGTTACAGGTTCACATTGAGATAGGTACAGAAATTGAAAGGAAGCATTTAGAAACTTTCTTAACAATATGATAGAGTCGTATTATATCTGCTGAATCTAATAATAAAAAATCGGGGCTTTTATTTTATATCTAATTTTTTATTTCACTTTTCTCAAAATTCATTTTTAATATATTTTACAAAAATATTGCTTCATGATAGGGATTGGAAATTAGAAAAATCAAAGCAGGTTCTTCACCACGCATAGTCTGAGAAGCGCTAGTCAAATGGACACCAGGGTCGACTTATGAAGTTGGAGTGAAAAAAAGATTGAAAAATTATGAGACCTTCTAAAACTTTATGAGTCGTCTCATAGATTTGCAGATTGTCTTCTCCTGTAGTGGTTTTCAACTTTTTCTTTTCTTTTTTTTTTTTCAAGCAGCAGAACTCTGTCTTCAAATGATCATTGCCACAAAACAGATGTAGATGGCAAATAAAAGCAGACCTGCTCTAGCTGAGTACAAGCTTAGGGGCTCAGAGCCCGCCTACCTGAATCCCCACCCCTCCTGGAGCTCACTGAGAAGCCTCAGCAGAGCCCTAGATCTCTGCTGAATGTCTGAAAATACTGCTCTCCGGGTATGAACTGGAGTTTTGTTTGGCGTTTTGTATGTTTTATAAATAATACATGTGATGGCTTCTCATTTGGAATTTAGACATTTCTCCATACGATGACACAGCTCTTTGATGTACCTTCTATTTATTGTATCCCTGGACTTATTTAACATGCATGATTTTGATGTGTTCTAATTTGAAGTTTAGACGTTTCTCTTATCATAGCCCAATCAACCAAAAACCAGCTGGGACAAACCTATAGTCCAACGAGGTTGTTTATTGGTTTATTGCAACGAGAGAGACCACACGCCGGAGGAACCGGGGGTGTCTCAGCAACAAAGGGGGAGCAGATGGGTCTTTTAGAGCACCTTGGGGAAAGGTGGAGTTCAGGTGAAGTTTAATGAAGCAGTATTTCGATAGACTCGCAGCAGGGCTGGGTGTAAAGGTCTGGACTGTGAGGTGGACCCACAGCCCTGTTTCCTTGGAAACTACAAAATTAAGAAAAATGTGGAATGTTGTGTCCAGAAACTCCCTAATCTGAAACTCCACCCCTGGGTGGGAAGTCCAGGCTCCTCCTCTATGTTAAGAGTGGGATGTTTGCTTCTTTCTGTTCTGGTTTCAAACAGCAAAGTTTCCAACAGTCTGTGATTAGAGACAACAAGGTTTCTCTGAGATAAGAAAGCAGTGGTCACTCACAGAAGGGGTTGTTGTGACACTCCGTAGCTGCATTGTGACCTTGGGAAAAGCGTGGTTTCCCGTTAACTTTGCACCTGGCTTTCTCCATGTGTGTGAGCCCAGCCTGCTTCATGTGTAGTGGGGCTGAGTTTGCCTTGCTCACGCTCACTGACCAGCTGTTTCTCATACACTAGATTCCTCACATCCGTGGGCCCAACATGCTCAATGTTTTTGTGGTTTTGATCAGGTACAAATGACAGGAGTGGCTAGCTCCTGCACCCGACATCTCACCGTTCCTAAGAACTCCTGAAGCACTGAAAAATAACTTAGTGAAACATGACCTGGGAAAGAAAGCTGCTATGAGAACTGGTATTAGAAATGCAGGAAAGGGCAACAGGAAGGAGACAGTGATGGTTTGAAGCCTTCTTGGTGGTCAGATCCTCTGACCTGCTGACACCGTGCAGAGAGATCTGGTCTAAGGCAGTCTCCAGCTATGAGGGGCTGACTCGTAAAGATATAGTGTTACTTATCATGGTGAAAACTGAAAATAACATAAACACTAGAGGTGTTGTATGCCCAAAATGAGAGCTTGGTGCCGTGGGGAATGTTCGTGAAATAGGTGCAAAAAATATCAGGATATTATAGAGCATGGCATCAACTTTATTTTTTTTATTGTATGATAATATGTATAGGAAATGTCTGCAAGGAAATGTACCAAAACATCAACAGTGGTTATTTCAGCATGGCTAAATTATAGAAGATTTTGTTTTTCTTTAGTCTTTATTTCCTATAATCAGCTTATATTATTCAGAATGCTACAATAAGCATGTATTACAACAATACAATGCAGTTCTAAAAATAAGCATGTATTACTCAGAGAAAGAAATCAGTTACTTTTGGAAAAAAGTAAGGGTTCTTAGCTAGAAAATAGGTATTTTATGAGGGAAATTATATGCTGCAGTGTTATTCCTATTCAGGGGATTGTCAGAATGTGTTTTTCCCATTATGTCCCTGTTAGCTTGAAGAACATAATTTTTCATTTTTGATTGGCACTTTATATGCTGAACAAGGCTGAATGAGTCTTTTTTAATTGTAGAATTTTTAGCATTTAAGCCTTTGTTTGCACAATTACTCGCTTCTACTGGTAGAAATAACAAATTTAGTAAACCAGAATGCGGTAGTAGTTTGACGTTGTTTGTTTCACCCAGAAAAGGGGTTTCAAACTTCAGACCTGTTACTGTTGATGTATTTTTAACTTTTTATATTTCTGTTTTTTCTAGAATATTTCTAGATTTCCAAAAGTAAGGAATGATAAAATACTGAGTACTTACAGAGAGAAATATTTGGGAAATTATTGAAATTTGGTTAAGATCAATTGAGATTTATGGACAAAATTCAATTTGGATTTAGATTGTCTTTCTGCCGTTTATAGCAAAATTATTTTTGTAAATAGAAGTGTACATAAATCTTTACTTGAAGATTAGTGTGACTATCAAGTTTCTAACTGTGTAGCAACATGGTAAGTCTTAACTAGACTTGTCTTTTTGACCCTCTCTAGACTGGGACGATGTCTGGAGAACTTCCTCTAAACATTAACATCAAGGAGCCTCGATGGGATCAAAGCACTTTTGTTGGACGAGCCAATCATTTCTTCACTGTAACTGATCCCAGGAATATTTTGTTAACCAACGAGCAACTAGAGAATGCAAGAAGAATAGTACATAACTACAGGTGATGTTAGTGACTCTGCTTTTTGGCTTACGATATTAATAGACTGTCGTGTTAGCCCATTATCTTGAAGCTTTCACTTAGCGATTTCACAACTTTTTTTGCAATGGAATCCTTTTTACCAAAAAAAAATAAAAAGTAGGAAATAGGAAGACATGTGTTATCCCCCATTGCTGACCATTATTACAGATGTCGAGAATTCGTATAACCTGAAAATGCGCCATCCTTCCATCTCCTAGGTGCTAATCTGTGAGGTCCCCTTTTCCCAACACCCTGCCTCTTACTCCACTGCAACCGCCCCCTGCATCCACAGGCACCGCGGGCATCTTTCTGTCTCTGGATGGAGACAGCATCATACAAAAAGCAAGTTGCTGGGGCTGGCCTGGTGGTGTAGTGGGTAAGTTCGCACGCTCCACTTTGGTGGCCTGGGGTTCAGGGGTTCGGATCCCATGCGTGGACCTACACACCGCTCCTCAAGCCATGCTGTGGCGGCATCCCACATACCAAATAGAGGAAGATGGGCACAGATGTTAGCTTATGGACAATCTTCCTCATGAACAAAAAAAAGCAAGTTGCCAAGAATTAGGGTAGGTTGATTGCTTCTGACATAAAGCCCCAATGAATAAACCCCACGGGTAAGAGCTCAGATGGGAAGGATGTTAGTGGTGGTGCCTGTACAGATTTGTAGGTTTAGGAGGTGCTCCGTCAGTCAGAGGGCCAGGCGTGAGGTAGGAGAAGAGAGGGACTCTAAGGCAGTGGTCACAAATTTCTAAATCAAAGAATATATAAGAAATATTTCAGGCTTTGTGGACCACAAACAGTTTCTGTCGCATACGCAGTTTTTTGTTTTTGTTTTACAATCCTTCAAAAATGTGAAACCACCCTTAGCTAGTGGGACCTCCGGGCCATAGACAGTAGTGCGCTGGCTCCTGCTCCGGGGGAAGGCCAGCCAGAAGCTGAGAGCTGGGTTAGTGGGAGCTCTGTGCCCAAAAGAGCCGCGACCAATACATGCGAGGCACGTGCTTGACGGCCACGTGGGTAGTTAGGGCGGAACCACGGGCAGTTTGTAAACTCTGTTGTGGAACACTGAGTCTGGCCGATGTGCCTGAAGAGGGAATGCCTGAACAGAACAACAGAACATCAAGGAGCCTTAGGAGAAGGCGCTGAGAACAAGGCAAAGGCAGACAGCAGAGGCCCATGTCCGGAGATCCAGAGAGTAACATCTGTGAATCTGGAGCAAAAGCCATAAAAAGAGGAGAGGTTGAGAAGACGACATGAAGAAGATTGCAAAGAACCTAAATCTGTAAGAGCAAAACTAAAATCTTCGCTGGAGGCAATGGGAGAAACTAACTGATGACAGGACTCATCCGGGAGGAAGTGGAAACAGAGGCAAGAATGAGCCGGAGACGCTCTCCGAGGATGACGATCAGAGGTCGGCAAGCTTCCTGCAAAGGGCTGGCTGGTAAATATTTCAGGCCTTACAGGCCATACAGTCTCTATTGTATATTCTTTTCTGTTTTGTTGTTGGCTTTTTTTTTTTTACAACACTTTAAAAAACATAAAAACCCTTCTTAGTTCACAGGCCATTCAGAAGCAGGCCGTGAGCTGTAGTTTGTGATCTCATGGTACAGATGAAGAGGTGACAGGTGTGAAAAGGTTATATTTAAGGGGACTGGAGAATGCAGAATGCAGCTATAACTGATTGATGCTTCTAAAGGAGAAACTAGGAAAATGCAAAAGAAGCAATATTAAGTAAAGAAAGAAAGAAATTTTCCTTTGGTGAGTAAAAACTTGTCTACAGATTAAAGAGACTCACCCTGTTTCAAGCAAAGAGACCCACACATGCAATTTTTTTTAATTTTCTTTTTTCTACAAAGAAACTTTTAAAAATTTCATAAGCATCCAAGAACAGGAAAAAAGTTACTAAAAAGACCAACCACAGAGAGGCTCAATCTTTTCATCTATACACTGAATGCCAGAAGACAGTGAGGCAATGTGTGCAAAGTTTTCAGGAGAAAGCACTATAGCCCAGGAATTTTATACCAGCTGGTCTTTATTTACACTGGCAACAGAGAAATATGCAACAACATCAAAAATAAACTCTTCGTAAATCCTTCTCGAGAGGTCAGGTGGTGAAGCAAAATTGAGTTCAAAAATAAGAAATCCATAGTATATGGTGATTTCTCAAACAATTAAAAATAGAATTACCATGTGACTCAGCAATTGTACTTCTAGGTACACATCCAAAAGAATTGAGAGCAGGGTCTTGAACAGATATTTGTACACACATGTTCATAGCAGCATTATTCACAATAGCCAAAAGGTGGAAGCAACCCAGTGTCCAGGGATGGATGAATTGATAAATAAAATGTGGTCAGTGGAATACTGTTCAGCCTTTAAAAAGGAAGAAATTCTGACACATGCCAAAACATGGATAGACCTTGAAGACATCTCGCTAAGTGAAATAAGCCCGTCACATAAGGACAAATTATTGTAAGATTCCACTTATACAAGGTCCCTAGAGTAGTCAAATTCATAGAGACAGAAAATAGAATGGTGGTTGCTAGGAGCTAAGGGGCAGAGAATGGAGAGTTAGTGTTTAATGGGTATAGTCTCAGTTGGGGAAGATGAAAAAGTTGTAGAGATGGATGGTGGTGATGGTTGTACAATAATGTGAATGTACTTAATGCCACAGAACTGTACACTTAAAAATGGTTAAGTTGGTAAATTTTATATCATTTGTATTTTACCACAATAAAAGAAAGAAAAAATAAGAAAGCCGTAATATAAATAGACTAGTGATGAATACTGAAAGCTGTTAAAATAGAAACAATTGTTGTATTTCTAGTTATAAAACATTGTAAAGGCAAAAAGCAATAAAAAAATGTTTGTAGGGGCCGGCCTGGTGGCGCAGCGGTTAGGAGCGCGCACTCTGCTTCAGCAGCTGGAGTTCGCAGGTTCGGATCCCAGGCGCACACTGACGCACCACTTGTCAAGCCATGCTGTGGTGGCGTCCCATATAAAGTAGAGGAAGATGGGCACTGATGTTAGCCCAGGGCCAATCTTCCTCAGCAAAAAGGAGGAGGATTGGCATAGGATGTTAGCTCAGGGCTGGTCTTCCTCACAAAACAAACAAACAAACAAAAAAAGTTTGTAAAAAATAGTAGTATTTATCTGAATCTAAAGCCCTACATTGTAATATCAAAAAACAAGAAGAAAGTAGAGGAATTAAAAGTATACGAAATATCTTGTCTTAAATAGGAGGTAAATTCAAAAATATATGTGGTTTTGCTCTTTACTGTGTTAGAGAAATGCATTATAGAATGGTTTTGAGAATCTTAATGGTAACTACTAGTCAAGTTAAACCTTAGTTTATATCTTCTAAAACCCTAGAGGCATAAAAGCAAAGACAATGTAATCAATGTAACTAAAACTGAAACCAAAGAACGGACATAGTAGCCTTAAATGTAACATAAAACAAGATGGAGAAGGCCAGAGAGCTTAGTAATAACAATATATGTAAAAAGGATTAAAATCCCCTGTTAAAATCAAAGACTTTAAAATTGAGTAAAACACTTAAAAACCTCAGTAATGACGTGGCATCTCAGAATGAGTGAGGGCTGCAGCTACGTGACTAATTATATGTGTGAGGTCATTGCTCGTGGAAAAATGCAATGCAGTCTTCCAAGAATCTGTGAGTGCCTCACCTTCTTCTCTCTTCTTTTAAGGCATGTAAATCCCTAAAGTCTGTGTGGTAACTTACCCAGGCCTGCTCCAACTGGGCGTTATGGGTATTTGTTGTGGTTCTATGCTGCTTTTGTATGTGTCTGCTTTTGTATATACATATGTTATCCATATTATATAATATATATATAATATTTTATATATAATAAAAATAAATGAAATAATAATATATATTCGTCAGTAAAACCAATTGTTGAATTAATGGGTAAGAAATACCTCCGAGTTCCCCTCCTCCCCACCAAGAGACAAATCAGCCGTGAACTTTCAGGGGAGAATAGCTCAGTGTTAGCTGGGGTCAAAAAGATACTGTGTCATAGCGCACCTTCAGGAATATGTATACTGATCTGTAGTTCCAGCGGGATACCAGCAATGCTATTCTAATATGAACCCAAAAGGAGGCAATAACAATAGCTACATGACAAAGCAAGACTAAGGTAACTGCAAATAAAAAAGAAGCTGTATGAAAATCAGACAAAGTACAATTCAGAGCAAATAGATCAAAAAATTTTGATCTTGATAAAGTGAACATTGAACAGACAGCATTCATGAACGAGTTAATATTGCATCAAAGTAGACAAAGAAAAGACTGTTAGAAACATAAATAGAACATGATTAAACACAATAGTAGCAGGAAATTCTAACATACCTTTCTCAGTCTTTGCTAGATCATCTAATCACGTTAGAATTTTTAAATACTTTCCTGTAACTGTACAAAAAGAAAACCAAAGGTAGAATTGCAAAGTAAAAACAATGAGGAAATTAATATGAAAACTTAAGTGATTGTGCCAAAATTGTACTCTGAGGGAAAGTTTATAGTTTTACATGTCTCTATTATTAAACAAGAAAGACTGACAATAAATGAACTGAGAATTCAGCTTAAGAAATTAAAGAACAACAGAAAATAGCAGACACTGCTGGTACGTACTGTGTGCTAGTACTGCTTAAAGCACTTTACGTTCATTAATTTAACCCACACCACAGCCCTTGAGGGTAGATACCGTTGTTATCCCCATTTTTCAGATGGAAGAACTAAGGCATACAAGTTTCACTTGCTCAGGGTCCTGCCACTAGTAATGGTGGAGCCAGGATAGGAACCCAGACAGTCTGACTCCAGAGCTCATGTTATTAACCACTGTATATACTGCTTTTTAAGGAAAGCGGAGAAGAATTAATATTTTTTAAAAGTCAGAAATTAACTAATAGAATTGAAAAATAAACGTAAGAACTTGTTCTTTGATAAACCCAGTAAACAGTAAGCC